GAGGAGTACGGAAAACGATTTCGTTTTGTTTTCGCGTTTGTATTGAGTGGGTTTCTAATGCAAGCCCACCTCCATCTAAATAATGCAAGTCGCCACAGTAATATAATATCATAATCCTATTATTAAGGTCCCGGATTTAAATACTAGTTGAATCCCATTTTTTTCTACTTTTCTTAAAACATTGCATTCCAAGTACAAAAGCCGTTGGATACATCGAAGAGCATAAAAATTAAACTACTTTTATTTTGAATTCTTGCTTTAACATTCTTATTTTTAAAGCATTTTTGTATTTTGAGTATTTATATAGTTTAGAAGAAATGAAAAATTTGATAAATGTTTACCATAAATAAAAATAGAAATAGGTATTACGAATTTTGCTTAGTCTTATATTTTACTCTCATATAACAGACAAAAGCAGCAGATTTTGGTCAACAACTTATGGTCTGGCAAATGAAATTTCGTCACTTGCAGGCAGAGAGTGTCGTGTATATAGATAGGTCGTATTATTTACGACTTGCATAAATCACGATGACGCCAAAATGCCAAATGGCGTACCTCAATTTAAAAAAAATACGAATAGATTCTGTTTAATCATTTTGATTTTATCAGTCAACAATAATTTTTAAGGCATTTCCTTGTTTTTCGGGACATATATCAATACTATATAGTTATCGCTTATTATGTAATATCATGTTTGGTACGTGCATGACACAGAAGTCTGACTAACGGCGTATTACATTACGAAGACGTGCACAAAACTGCGCAGACGGAAACAATACGAGCTTTTATTATTCGATCGTTTGTCCTGTCCGATGGAGGCGAACAAGAATTGTTGACGCAGACGTCGACCTTTGTCCCGATGAATAATAATAATGATATCGCGCCTTTGAACGCAGTAGCTGTACTGTAGGAATATACCTACGCCTCTGCCTTCAGCGCGACTCATATGTTGGATGATAATAATAACAATAATAATTGTAATGCATCTCTCGGAATATATTATTATAACTGCATTAATATACTATTAATTCGATTCGATCGTGTCGTTAAAATAATAATATACACTATTATTGTTTACGCTAAATACGTTTTTTTTAAAGTAGCTACGCTGCACCGCGGTTAGTACCTATACCTATATCGTATACACATAAATATCGGAAAACGACAGAGATTTATTTCGTCAGTCACCGTCTGCAGGTTCGAAATTATCATCGCCGTTGCTTCTATTTCCTAAACAGACCGCGTTCGGTACTTGAGCGTAATTTATGCAATTATGCTGCTCGCGTATAATTATCCTTTGAACGAGCAAAGAGGATATAGTATCATCCATTCCGTCCAAAACGACCCGAGCCCGGGCCCGGATGACTTGTATAATAATATCGTTGTAATATTTTAAAAATTGACTCCGCTATATTATAGCATTTTGTGCACCTACAATAATAATTTATTATTGCGTTTGAATGCGAAATAAATAATATGCCGCTGATGATGACGAATCTGCAGCGTGCTAATACACGCCGCGCGTCGTCCCAGCTGCAGCAGTTTTATAATTATTGAATGAGATTTTCGTATAATATTAATATTATTATTATCGTCGCGATTTAGCGCTGCGGTAATAATAATAAAAATAATAATACTAAACCCAACCCGAAGAGAACAATAATAATTCTGTTCGAGTCGTTACACGACCGTTATAATAGGTACACGTGGAATTTAAATAAAAACGCGATAAATGTATAAACGGACTAATATTATAATAATGCGGAAAAATAAAATGCTTAAATAATAATAATGTTATAGAAACCAGATTTTGTTTTAATTAAAATTTGCATTTAAAACAATATTTTATTACTCCACTGCACAGGATCGGCGTCAGCGGCATGTATACTACATATGCTATTATATTATGTCGTATTATAGAAGCTTTCCTACTCACGCTCTATCGCATCTCTCTATTGTTCTGATTTCGTTTGAACGTTAACGATATTATAATATTTTTGATTTACTCATAGTCAAACGACTGCTGCAGATGTACAGCAGGAGTACAACAGTATCTATATGCGCAAAACTCGTCGGGATATAAGCCTGCACAAAGCTGCCAAGTCGTGACGTATGTATATATCATGATAAAATATACGTTTATAATCGCCAGTAAAAAATTTAAAAGCATACAGAGTGGTTCAGGGATGCATACCAAGCATGCTCAGCCACCAATTTAATTCCCCCAATCATATTTTCAAACATCAAGATTTTTAGAACAATATTAAAGGATTTTCCTGTGTAGATACACGCAATTTAGTTTTTTTTATTTTTAACGAGAACCAAACTATCTAATATTTTTTATCACATGATTTTTTAGAAAATGTAAAATATTATGCATTTACGTCAAAATTCGAACAAGTAGTTTCTGAGTTATTAAATAATGTACAATAATATACAAACGATAACAATAGTTCTTAATATTGGTTTTACTAAAAATATTAAATGTATGTTAGATTGGATCAAGTGTTTATTTTTGTTATATTTGGACAATTTTTACAAACTATTGCAAAAATCGAATAAACCAATATAATGTATATATAAGTATAATTTTTAAATAATCATAGCCCTAGTGTCATCAAAACGTATTATACCATATTTTAGGTACCTACCAATTGCTCTTTAGTCCAATAACTCAAAAACTTGTAGTTTGAAATATGCTGTTTAGAAACAACATTTTTTTAAAAATCTACTTAACAACTCGCGAGAAATAGGGTGATTATCTCGTTTGAAAAAAATTAGTTGGGAGCAGGACAATCCTTAAGTCGTATAAAAGCTCTTTAAAATAGAAATTGAACATTTTAATGAATCATTAACTATTATCAAAGGAGAACATGCGGGAGATAGCATAATTGTTGCTGAATCAGCCTGTATGTGCACGATAGTGTATCAACAAGGACGGCGCGTGGGACACTAGAGTGTTGTGGACGTTGGACGTACCTATTTAACGTGTAATTTCGTAAAAGTCGGCGTGGAAATGGTTGTTATAATAATAATAACAATATTGTAGTGATATAATTGTTGTTGTGTAAGCCGCGCACGGCCGTCTGGTATAGATTCGCGTATACATATACAAGTTGTGACAAGAGCGAATTATTTATGTATTGTGCGCGATTGTTGATATAAATTAAACGGCCACTGAATGACAACCGCCATAAATATTATGCGCCGAAACGACTTTATGTGCGTGTGTGTGTGTACGCGCGTGGGAAGCATTTCAGTACCGAATATAATAATATCATAACAACGTCGTTACCGATACGATTTATTTGCGCACGCGCAAAACAGAAACAAAAAGCCGAATTCGTATATTATAGCAGATAGTACAAAACTAAATTAAATTTAAAAAAAAAAACATGAAAAACGGCATTTATTTCGATTACCTTTTTATGGGTGCGGGCCGGCACTAAACGGCGGCGGTGGACGGTGATGGCGAGAGGAATGCGCGTGGATGAGGATCGATTTGCTGCAGCGGCGTAGGTTTAATTCTATAATTTGTTCGGGATCGGGCAGAAAAATAGGGTTGTTTAAGTTCAAAAGACTAAACACCACCGCGCCTGTATCTACTGTAAAAAAAAAAACACCCCCGTAAAAGCTCTCGCGGAAATAATTGAAACTTTATGGGCGGGCTGCATATATATATAATACAATGTTTAATGATTGAACCTGCTCCGAATATCGGTGCGCCCGCGGTGTCAGCACAGAATTATTATTATAATAGCCGTTAGCCAGGGGGTCTAAAAGTCAACGCGATTTCGAGAGCATACAATTATTATGTCCTTGGTAGTTATCGATTAAATTCAAATTTTGAATTTTCGCGTCATATTCATATATTATATAATATTATATTATACTCTCGGAGTCATAGTATTTTACTCATATTCCGTGAATAACAATTTACCGTAAATTTGAAACCAATCTAATGACGAAAAAAGGACATACGTCACATACCTACGCGTAACACCCTTATACCGCTACACAAGTTATATAAGACTTTATAATAACGTAGCCATACGAGTACGTATGTTGCTTCTATTTCTATTATTGGATTAATTTTTTTGGATAATTTTTTTATCTATGTACCTACTGTTACGACCTGTTGGCTGTTATGAGATCACTAAGTAAGACATCAAAATTAAAATGTACTAAAGTACTTAATAAATAAAGACACCTCCTTATCTTATAAAATGTGTATTCTATACTGGTTTTGGTTTTCCATTTATTTGTTTTTAAAACACTTCTTGGCGATAGATATAATATTATTAAAACTATATCGAGCGAAGGCCGCGAGAAGCAGTTTTACATTTGCAGGTAGGTTTAAATAATTCATTATAAATCATTCTAGCGTGGGCTGCTGTAGTAATTTATCATAAACTAACGAACCTATACGGTGATTTACATTCCCGGGTGCATTTAAGGATCTCTTTCGGTGATATTTTCGACTTGTATTATACGACGAAAGAAACTCGTAATTTTTCCGGTCACTAGATTTTCTCTGGGCACAAGAATTTATTACACTACAACAAAGTTTATTCGTGACATATTGTAATACGAACGTGTAGAACAATCGGTTCGTATAATATTATTATAACAATTTCGTTGTCTAAAATGTTTCGAATAAAATAGACAGGTAACAACAGCGTGTTAAACGCAACAACGACTCGTAAACCACAATAATTATAGCGTTTTGAGAGAACACATTATTATTATTATTGTTATATAATATTACAACAATAACGCTGTGGCAGCGTTCACCACTCGTGTGGCGGTGCAACGTGATACATAATAGTCGTCGGGTATACAACACATTTATGAATATCACGCCCGCACTACTGCATGGAAAGTCGAATGGAAAATAATTTTCTCTCCCGTCTTAAGTTAAGCATACCTACTTTGTAGCGTTTTCGTTTCACTACTGCGTACCTAAGCTCCGTAGAGGAAATATATTAAACTGCACTCACCAGTACTGGGTGAAGATCGACGCCGTACATGTCCAGCCACTTGACTTTATCCAAGAAATTCAGCTCGGCAACTGCAGGCACTTGACCCCTGCAAAATGGATGTCGTTAAGTAATCATAAAAAAAAATAAAACACAAAATAGAAAACAAAAAAAATGAAAGCAATAGGTAAGCGTCCTCGGCGAGGGCGAGGGAACGTTTATTATGGCGCGCTGCACTTACGTGAGTTCTTTGTGTATTTCTCCGATTCGGTTCTCGAGCTCTGCATTCTGATTGGACACGAACCGGAATTCAGACACATACCCGAGGGTGTGTCGTCTAGGATCGAAATCTCCAAGTTCAGCTGTAACAAAATATCGTCATTATTAAAATAAATAAATAAATAATATGTCATTAGGTAAAAACTATTGTATAACTATTGAATATCCAGAAATTTAATTTCGTAAAATGTTCCAAGACCGCGAATTCTTAGTGAAAATTACAATTTAAATACACATTGCTCATTATTATGTTTCAAAATAAAACTTAAATTGTATGTAACTTAGGTATGTAGAAAAAAATTGTAGGAAAACAGGAAGATTTTTAAAATAAAATATTTATTTATTAGATGTTATAGGTGAGTAAAAGTCAATTTCAAGTACACCTATTCTTAAATGACAGTCGTCAGTGTTGAGGAGTTAAGATTTTAAATTTATGGGAAACAACATGCAGTTACTCCAGATACTATAGGTATAGCAGTCGTATTCGAATAAATTATTTTTCTTTATTTTAAAAAAATATTCCCAAGAGGTGGGTGAATACTTCCGAACCGAAACATTCCTTGTTCCCGGGAACAACAGCCTGTGACAAGATACGGGCATGTCAATAATTTTGGCACTATACTGTGCTCACTGCTCACCCAAATACTTTAATATTATTTTATACGTTGTTATTGTGCACATCATCAGCCCATTATTAAAATAATAAAACGACGTATTCGTGTATATTGTAGGTACGTATCTGTGTTCTGCAGTATATCATATTATATTGTGCCCGCAACTTTATTTATAATCGCAGTCGTAATAAAAACGTGTACGAGACAAACGATAAAACCGTCTGCGGTAAAATTTATAGATGGCGGGTCTCGGGTCCACAGCCTTTTATTCGGTTTTCGGCGACATCGTATTATAATAATAATAATATGGCGTTTCGGTCTGTTTGAACTTATATTAAAATAGTGCGCTGCATACGGGAAGAAAGAGAAGGTGTGGAGACGACACACCCCACCACCGACCTTATGAACATTACAGAAGCTGAGATAGATGCTGGAATGAGGGTGAAATTTATCACTTTTCAACTATAGTGAGCGCCAGTAAATTATTTTCTGGTTTTTTAAATTCTTAAAAAAAATGACCTGACCTACTAAAACAAATCTCTATAAACGTACAAAAATCATATTTAAACGATTTAACGTCATGTTTTTTGGCCAAGATGTTTTTTTCACATTCCTCTGGTGAGTTTAGTGAATATTTTTACAATTTCAATACGTTTATAATTTCTTATACAGCATCAGAAGTCGGTAAAGCCATAATATAGTTATCGAGGAGTGCACTCGAAGTGGAAATGGTATCGAGTTTTAGCCTTTTTTAGAAAGGTAGGTACTTCCGAGAAGTCAGCCGTCCGACTTACGACCCGCCGTGAGTAGGTATTCAAAGTTTATAATCTCTGTTGCTGCACTGACCCATAATTATTCCCACAGTTACCGTTAATATTATTGTCAGAATTATTACGAGCAACAGAATAATATGACTTCGTAGCAGTCCAATCGGAACATGTACAGATCGGTTACACACACATACATCGTTTTATTAATATGTCTAATACATGGTTTTTACATCGTTATCGAAGATCGAGTGTCTCGCGTGTGTATTAAGACAAACGTCAGAAGAAGAATATAAAATAATAGAAAAAAAAATATATCGTCATATACTCACCGTATTACGTATATTATAACAATACTTTACAGGAGACCAACGATTTTTATTATATTTTTTTTGTCTAGCAACAAAGTAAAAGTGCCACGAAAAGTCGACCGCGGCTGGGCGCAAAAGTCGTCGCCCCCCCGCGCGGGGTGAAGATAATATATTAGTGCGTCCGCTCTTCCCGCTAATAATAAGCACCTCGATTTACACAATATTTATGGCCGAAATCGGGCGGTCTCGGGTCGATCTTTATTGCTTGCCATTTACATCGCGGGAGAGTGGTGGTGTGGAGGTGGTAAGAAGAAAAACCCGAAAACAGAATAAACAACCCCCTTAACAAAATCATATATTTTATCTCGGCCGCTATACGCGTACAGTATATATATGCCATACCATTACTTCTACTACGTCTTCTTACTATACAACTAGCTGTTGTACGATATATATATGCGCCATGTGATTTTTTTCTCTTAGCGCGAGACACTTGTTTTTTCCGAGTTTTAGGTTCAAAATGTTTTCGTTGCTCGCGAAACACCGCCCCACCTAACCGGCTCCACTAAAGTATAGGTACATTATTATACGCGGCAGTGTTTATGGTCGTTTTTGAAACTCGGAGACCTCAACATGATGACGGTTACATCGCATTTTTAGTAGGGAAACTCTAAGACATTAATACTTAATTTTTTTTACCATCACACATTTGACGATAAGTATAAGACTTAATACCTGTACTGTAAATAGTTTATTGCAAAATTATCAACAGCGATCGTATACTTTAATGATTATTTACGTCCATGAGTAATAGGTTATGTTACCGGTGGCTATTTTCTGAATAAGTATATTGAAAAATAGTTTTCTAAAATTTTGCGTTTTATAAGATGGCTCACACAAATGGATATGTTTTGACACAACGAATATTTTTTGTTTATATTATTTAGGTTTGCCATTTATTACAGAAAATATAATAATAATCATTTATCATGATTGGATATAATTGTAGACTTGTATTTTATATTGGGTCAATATAGGTACCACCCAAATGATTGTGTTTAAAATTTAAAATTTAAATTTTAAAATCGGTGTAGTTTACATTTAACGGAGCTCGATACGGGGTAATCCCACGGACATAACCTACCCATTTAATTTGATCGCCGTGCGGGATCAGCTAGAAATACATAGATGATTAAGTGCGCATTATTTAATTACTTCCATTTTTTTTTTACTTCAAATTATATGGTTTCCGTTGAAAAACACGCGATCCGCAAATAGTGACACTAAATTAATTTCTTGGGAGAGCTGAAAATCTTCACGAGTATTGTATGATAATATATTATTATTATTATTGCATTGACTCAACTTGGTATAATATTATTCGCGTGTATATAGGGGTAGGGTGTATAGGGTGGAGTAGTTTATAGCCGAGGGTCCTTTTTCACTGATTACTCCCTTCGAGTAGGCGCATACGGTTGTGAAATTTGCCGGAAATCCGTGCCCGAGCGATTGGAACTGTTCATTTTGCCGAGACGGATTCACGCACGCGCGAAAGGACCCGAGTGCGGAGTTATCGCAATGCTGCATTTTTTATTATAGAACTGTTTTTTTACACGTCGCCTGGCTAACTCCATCGCCAGTTTTCGACCATCGGAATTGATATTTATTACCAGACCAATGTGTGTGTGTGGGTGTGTAATTTTACCTACCGTTCACGCGGACACACATATATATATGCGTGTTCGTCGCGCGTCCATTGAGATTAATTTACCCCCGCAGGCGCCGGAAGAGTCCCATTAAAACTTCATAATAATATAATATACCTACCGGATTTACGCTCCGGCTCTACGTTTGGATAAATTTACGAGCGGAGAGTAAAAAACGAAATACGAATGCGGCGAAAAACAAAACAGAACGACGACAAAAAATGTCCAGAAACCCGCTGCACGAAGAAAACAAAGCGATTTTTGTTTTCATTTTTAACGTTTCACCCCCGACCGGAACAATGTGCTGCAGAATTCCTTCCCTCGTCCATTCTAGACTGTTTTGACGGGTTTTTGTAAATTTTCGACTAGATGACTTGCCGCCAAGCAGGGAAAATACGACTCGAAACTTCCGACTCTGCGAATCCTGGAATTCGGATTCGAACCCAACCCTCTTCACCGCATACACGCGTCCTTGTACACACTTCCTTTAAACGTGTATTATATTTGGATCGGAAAAACAATTTTATTCATGTACCTACGTTACTCCCGACCAACACGTGGAAAATTGAATTATAAATGAGAGGGGCTAGAGAAATGTGCCTATGTATTTTTATACTTCTTTGTGTGACTAATGCAAACATAAATTTTATATTCCCCGGTAAAGTTAATTACAGGTTTCGAATATAATGCGACACAATATTAAAAATATATTGTATCACGTAATGATTTCGTTTTGGAAAAAAAATCAAATGATTGAAATTATTTAGGTCCATTTATTATGGCCCCGTAAACACGTGTAAATTATGTTACAAAACGTTCAAACGATTTGAATAGTAATTAATTATTCCTCTATAATGGTCGTTGCAGCGCAGTTAATTCTTTGAAAAATAACTCACTATAGCGTATATAAACTAATTAAAAACTATTTATATGGGCGAACGGATGGCTTGCTAAAAAGTAATAGCTATAGTAATTATCCCAACGTATACGCCAATATTTCTTTGTAAATAAACTCGAAAATTTCAAAATAAAGTCAAGAATAATAAGTGCCGGGAAAGAAAATCAAATTAACGCAAACTCGCTTCGTCGCATCGCGTGTCTTCGTATAGGTATAGGCACCAATTGCACATTATTATTATATTCGGTATAATATCCACTATATATCTCAAGTCCTGCAGTGTTTTGGCGTTAGGTACCCATCACTAAAATTGGACCGCAAATATTATATTAACAACAACCCGTTAAAGCCGCCAACTCGGGAGTTGCTCGCTTTGAACTACGTTTTCTATTATAACAATATAATCGCGTAATTATTAAACTTTTAATAGAATAATTTATTCAGACCCGACTAAGCTCTCCCGGAACAACGTAACAACGCAATAAACACACATTGTGTTTCGTTCTTCTCCGTCGTTTATGGCTTAAACTTGGGCAGTCGCACACACTAAATTATTAGACCGTGGCCGTACGTATAGCGTGACAATAAGTATATTATTTTTATATTATATCAGCACATGTTAAGTGTTCAGGCATTTCAATATAAGTTTTAGAGAATAGTTATTTACTAGAAATATTCAGAAGACCGAATTTCTGGGAAAAGCTCGTGAACTAGAAACTATGTTAGCAAAGAGATATCCTTATTATATATTACAAGTGGAAATATTTTTCAATAAAATATGTATATT